ACAGGTCCCTGTCCTTCTTGTGCTGACGGCGCCAGTGCTGAACAGAGCACTCCCAGTGGGGTTTCAGTAGAGAACAGAGGGGGAGGGAATCACCTCTCTTGACCTGCTGGCCATGCTTCTTTTTAAGCAGCCCAGGATAGGGTTGGTTTTCCGTGCTGCATTTACACACTGTTGGCTCATGTTGAGCTTTTCATCGATCAGCACCAAGTCTTTCTTGTCAGGACTGCTCTCAATCCATAATCCACCCAGTCTGTATTTGTGCTTGGGGTTGCCCCACACCACCCAGCTTGGTGTGCACTCAATGCCACCGGCACCAATCCCAGTACCAATTCCTGAGGAGCACCACTCATACGTATCAATGGGTGGGCTAGCCTTGGCCAGCCCCCCCCCCCCCCCCCAGCCACTCTCATGCCTCCTCAATAGGGTGGGGGTGAAAAATAAGATGGGAAAGCCTAGAATGGGATAACTCTCCAGGGGTGCCTGTTCATGATCAGCTCTCCATTGGACAGCTCTGCATGGCCAGCTCTATACAAGGACAGCTCTATGTAGCTCTCTCAGGAGGCGGAGTGTGCTTTTGGCTTTTTGTGTCTCTCTTTTTTTTTGGAGGGTGTTGCTGTTTTTCAAATTGAGGGACTTATGAGCAGAGCATCCCACTTCCCCAGCAGGGTCCCAGCCCTCTGGCTTCCCAGGCAAAACCCTCCTGTAGTTCTCCCCACCAGCCTTGCATCTGGCCTGTGCGTCAGCTGGCCATGCCTCTGCCAGCCAAGATTTTAATTTTTGTATTTCATGTTTAATTTAATTGCCTTAATGTCATTGTTCATTTAAGTATTACTTTATTAATGAACCACTGAAGACAGTTGCAGTGCAAGGTGGACAAGATCTGATGGCCAAGCACAATGAAGGCATGTGATTAATTAGTAGTGGGTCAGAAAAAAAATATCTTGTCAAGATCTTGCCTGTGCCAACAGCCAATGGAGATAGAGGCTTCCAGAAAGAATACTTATGAACAGGTCACAGCCTTTCACCATTACACTGGACATGAGCCACCAGTGTGCAGCAGCAGCCCAGAAGGCCAATCAAATCCTGGGCTGCATCAAAGGAAGCGTGGCCAGCAGATGGAGAGAGATGATCCTGCCCTCTGCTGTGCTCTGGTGTGACCTCACCTGGAATCCTGTGTCCAGCTCTGGAGCCCCCAGCACAAGAAGGACATGGAGCTGTTGGAACGTGTTCAGCAGAGAGCCACAAAAATGATCCGAGGTCTGGAGCAGCTCTGCTATGAGGACAGGCTGAGGGAGTTGGGGTTGTTCAGCCTGGAGAAGAAGAGGCTCCGGAGGGACCTTATAGTGACCTTCCAGTACCTGAAAGAGGCCTACAAGAAAGCAGGGGAGGGACTATTCACAAGGGTTTGCACTGACAGGAGGAGGGGTAATGGCTTTAAGCTAGGAAAGGATAGATTTAGGTTAGACGTTAGGAAAAAGTTCTTCAATATGAGGGTGAGAGATCACTGGAATAGGTTGCCCAGACAGGTGGTGGAGGCCCCATCCCTGGGGACATTCAAGATCAGGCTGGATGAAGCTCTGAGTAGCTTGATCTAGTTTGAGATGTCCCTGCTTATTGTGGGGGGTTTGGACTAGATGACCTTTCGAGGTCCCTTCCAGCCCAGACCTTCTATGATTCTACACTTCCCACACTTTGAGCGTGCGGTCCTGGTATGGTGGTCAAGGTGCTGTAACTTGGTTGATGTTCCTTGCCTGGTCTGCCTCCTATGACCTGGCAGTCCTGCCATCCTTGTGCTCCTCAGTCTGCCAAGTGCTGCCAGGTGTTGGGCAAGGAAAAGCTGCAGGCAGCAGCCTTCTGAGTTTGGGAGAGCAGTGGTTGTACATTTGAAGATCTAAAACTAGGCAGGTTCTGTTCTTAGCAGGGAAGACTAGAGAACAAGTGAACTGAATGTGTTGTGTCTGTTTTTCGTGCAGTTCAAACTCTTGTAGAGCTGATGCAGCTGACCTGAGCATGTTGACAGACCTGTGTATGTTTACAACCAGGTGCTTTCTTTTCTCAGTGTTAAAAGTTGACTACAAGTCTCTGA